TGCAACATGATGCCATCCGAGAAAAAAAGTGAGATTAAACTTTGTTTTTCTGTGTCTAGAGTTCCTTTCCAAGCTTTTTAAAGTTTTAAGTGGATTTAGATAGCCACGTTGGCACCAATTTGTTGAAAGGGAGAGAGTCCCGGAAACCCTGCTAGTTTAGACCCGAAATCATCACATAGAAACTGTGTTAATTAAAACACAGTTTGGGGGATGGAGAGATGGCTCAGAGGTTAAGAGCATTGCCTGCTCTTCCAAAGGTCCTGAGTTCAATTCCCAGCAACCACATGGTGGCTCACAACCATCTGTAATGAGGTCTGGTGCCCTCTTCTGGCCTACAGGCATACACACAGACAGAATATTGTATACATAATAAATAAATAAATATTTTAAAAAAACACAGTTTGGCCCATTAGCACTAACCTCTTGTTGGATAACTCTTACATCTTAATTTAACCAATTTCTATTAGCCTGTGTATTGGCATGTGGCAATAGCTTACTGGCAAAGTTTGGGCATGTCTGACTCTAGCGTGGCTCCATAGTGTCTCCCTATCTGCCTTCCTTCTCCCAGCATTCAGTCCAGTTTTTCCTGCCTACCTAAGTTCTGCCCTATCAATAGGCCAAGACAGTGTCTTTATTCATTAATGGTAATCACAGAACACAGAGGGGAATCCCAAATCACTGAGGCTGTCTATGAATGTTTTATTTTTGACTCTTCTAATATATTCCATTAACCATTGCCATCCCTTTGCATACCATTACCATGAAGGTTGTAATACCATAGCCCAGGAGTTCAATTAGAAATAAGATAATGTGACACCTTTAGCATTGTTCTCTTTGCTATGGATTGTTTAGCATAATCGGGAGCTTTTGTGTTTCCATTTAAATTTGGGACATTTTTCTTATTTCCTTAAAGATTACTTTTTGGAATCTTGATAGGAATTTCAATGAATCTGGAGCCTTTTCCAATAATATGGATATTTAACAACATTTATCTTGTTGATTTATGAGGATAGGTGTTTTTCCTAACTTTTAATGTCTTACTCATTTTCTTTCCTCATAGTTTTAAAGGTTTCATTGTGGGAGGCTTACACCTCTTTGATTAGGGGATTGTCACACTGACACAGTCTACGCTCACCTGGAGCATAGTCTCAGTGAGGTATTGTCTATGTTGAGTGTCCTGTGTGGATGTCTAAGGGAAGTTGTCTTAATTAGGGTAACAGATGCGGGAAGTCCCAGACACTATAGGCAGCACCCTTTCCTAGGCAGAGAACCTTGAACTGTATGAGTGAGAAATCAGCCTGAGCACAACCAGAGAAGCAGTGAGCATGCGTGCATTTGGGACTTCCTGCTCTTGAGCATGGTGTGATGCATCTAACTACTGCAAGTTCTGTAACTCTAACTACACCACAATGAAGAGTTGTAACTTGCAACTGTGTTAAAATAAACCTTTTCCCCCTTGGACTGTCTTTGTCAGGATATTTTATCACGTTAATAGCAATGCATGTAGGGCAGGCACATCTACAGGCGTTTATTTTGAATGGCATTGTATTCTAAATTCCCTCTCCATGTGTTCCTTAGGGGTGTATAGAAATGCTGCCGGGTCTTGCACATTCTGTTTCACATTCTAGTGATTCTCTAGTAGAGTGTCTCTGATCCAAGAGTTTTCTGGTAGGAAATGTTTTAATTACTGAATCATATCATCTTCAAACAGGGACAGTTGATTTCTTCCCATGTTATTTGTAGTGTATTTCTTTTGATGAAATTTTATCTTGGCTGAAAATTCAGGCAACTCTAGCAGTTAGTTTTCGGTTTCTGTGATAAAGTTCTCTGACAAGAAGCAAGTTAGGAAAGAATAGGTTCATTCTGGTTTAAAGTTCAGAGTGACAGAGTCCATCACAGCAGGAAAGGAAATGTGGTTTGGGGCCAGGCTTTAAAACCTCAGATCCTCTGAGTGATGTCTTCTGCCAGCAGAGCTCACCTTTACCGCAGAGGTTCTCAACCTGTGGGTTGTGACCCCGTTCACTGGGATCTCACATCAGCTGCCCCCGTACCAGATGTTTCCATGATAACTCATAACAGTAGCAAAATTACAGCTATGAAGTAGCAATGAAAATAGTTTTAAGATTTAGAGGTCAGGGTCACTACAACGTGGGGAACTGTATAAAGGGCTGCAGCATTAGGAAGGTGGAGAGCTACTGTCCTAAAGCTTCCATAGCCTTCACAGACATCTCCACAAACTGGGGACCAAGTGTTCAACATTTGGGAAACGTTTCTTATGCTTAGTTACTACGGGCACCCCAATGAAAAGCACCTAGAGAACAGACCCACTTCTCTTCTTCCTTATTATTAAAGGAAACTGAGAGAGTGGCAGGGGAGAGTCACAGGCCAGGCTCTCCTAGAAGCATGGTAGAAATCTTAGTTTTGGTTCACTAAAATGGAGCAGAGCTAAACAGGCAGTCAAAAAAAAAAAAAAAAAAAAAAAACTATAGGCAACCAACTAGCAGATACCCCTAGTCTTCTGCTAGCTCAGCAGAAACCCCAAAGACCTTTTCCTGGCTTAGCAGATCCCCAAAGCCCTTCTGCTGAATGAGCAGATGCCCCCAAGCCTTTTGCAAGCTAAAGATAGTTTTCCATACTTTGCTGCAGAAAGGACCCTAACCACTAAGTCCTCCCACCAATCAGTCCCCAGACTAATCTGTCCCCTATCAATCAGCCCTACATTAATCCCTCCTCCCTGGATTTCTGCAAACTCTACTTAAAGGGAGCTTGTGATCTTCATTGTGGGTTGCCAATATGCCACTTAGTGTTGGAATTAATAAACCGTTCTTGTTATTGCCTGCTTGGCTGTTGGTCTCGGTCCCTAACAAAAATGGGTTACTTTTCTTATGTTTGAATACTATTTTTTTCATTTTATTCATTTTGAAATAAGAAATATTTATTATGTTTGTCATTTCCTCTTATTCCTATGTTCATAAAGACATTTTGCCATTAAGGGAAGAATCTTAAACAAAATGCAAAAAAAAAAATCAAACAAACAAAAAGACTCTGAAGTTTCTCTTTTCCTGAAACCTTTTTTCCTCATTTGAGATGATCATGATTTCTTTCCCTGAACCTATTTACACGCGGAGCTCTATTGATTGAGTGGCATATGTGGGACCATCTTTATTTCCTAATTCTTGTAGATACAAAGCACTGGTGGCAGCAGGGCTGGGAGCACATCCCAGCCTCAGACCCCCAGCAGGATAATGCCAAGGATGCTGAATAGAGGTGGTGGTGAGAAAGTAGCTGAGCTCTTCGCCTGAGAGTGGACTCAGCATGACCAGGGAGAGACCCCCTCCTTTCTTCTCCAGAGCTGGGACTCAATGGCCAAGGACAGAGACTCCTTCCTTAGGCTCAGTTTAAGGTTGTGCGGGAGTCATCCGTGGGTGTGTGTCCTAGAATGGAGGGTTGCAAGTCTCTTAAGCCCCCAGTTTTAAAAGATCACACAAAGTATTGGTATTTGCAAATAAATTTAATGAATAGAAAGAAATGCCTTTGAGATTCCAACAATAGTCTTGCACTTTATAGGCAGAAAGATAAAATCAAGAAAGAAAAGTTACGATTATGGTATCAGCTCTTCAATGCTGTGAGCTAAAGATCTCGTGGAACTTTTAGGAAGTCTGTGGACAGTCTTTACTGTCGTATATAGCATCCTGAAAAATAAATGAGGAAGTGACTTAAATTTTCAACTTTGACTGTAGAGCCCAATATTGAAAAGAAAAAAATCTTGTTTTTTAAATTATTTTTTCAGTATTTTCAATTACTATTAGATATTCCAGAATGCTTCCAGAGACAAATCCGATTAGGTGCATGTGCTCTGTCATTTAAGAAAACAACAAGAGTAAGAAACCCAGATTTTTTTAAAATTTTTTTTAAAGTTTCCCATTGATTACCTTAGCCTCTAACTTCCAACCTCCCCCTGCCCAAATGTTTCATTAGGAATTCATTCTATACCCACTCGGAAACTAGAGGCCTCTGTGACTGAAGGTATCTGATGACCCTCAGTTTGACCTGCTCTGCTATTATTCTCGTACCACTTGCTCAATTGAAACCTTGCTTAACAGTGAAGGTGGCTTTAAAAATTCCTCAGTGCTCTAAAAATGAGATTTGTTAGAAGTGACTAGAGAGCCCTCACCAGTACTTTCAGGCCCTGTGTATTCCTGTGGTTTTAGTTAAAACTGGGCAGATTTCTAAGATTTGGCACCTGTGGGTTGCTTGAATGGGAACAGGGACACTTTAGATGAATTCTTGGACCTTCATTTTTATGCTTGAAAAGAGACTATTATTATTAATATAATTATTATTTAAAGAGACTGTTAGTCCTGATGTTCTTATACTGGGGTCTTCTGTACTCGCTCTGAACTGGTGCAAATGGAAGGTCCATGGTTACTGAACCAAAGCAGGACTTCTTGAGAGTCAAGTATATTTTTCTCTGACTTAAGAATTTGAGAGCTTTTCCGTGTCATGACATGCCTACGTGTTTAAGTGTGTGTGAGTGTGAGTGTGTGTGAGTGTGTGAGTGCTTGTTCATGAACGTGCATGGTTGCATATGTGTACCTGTGTTTGTGTGATTGGGAGGTTATTGATAAGAGAGTTATCTCTGGCTCATCTCCTTGTTTTTGTGTTTTTCTTTAATTATTTTAATATCCTCAAAATAATATGGAATATGAGGTGTATCTTCAATGGCTTTCCTGAACAAAATGTCACCACTATATCAAATTATGTTGTTCAAAAATAGTAGACAGACAATGTTTCCTTGGACCTTATTAGTCACACGTTGGAAACTGTTCTTCCTCATTAGTAGAAATATATGCATGTGAATATGTAAGTATGTATATATATACAAATATACGCCAATATAAATATATAAAATACATAAGTATGTACATATATGTATATGTGTGTATATCATTCAAATATATATAGTTACATAAAACAAAAAAGGGAAAATGTATAATTACCATCATCACTCGATAATTGGCCATAGTCTCCTCTGACTGGTCTAGATAACATTGTTTCACTTCACCCAAAGCCTTTTGGTCATAAGGAAGAAGTGCGTATGACTTTATCACTTTCTGAAACTCAGCCACAGACACAGATGAGTTAGTAATCTGTGCAACGACGTCATCCATTGCATGGCAATTAGAACCTGGAAAGACATGGCATTCATCACTGGAGGTCTGAACTCAAGAGGGGTCACCTCTCATCACAAACATCTTGTTGAGTACAAGTAGACACAGATTAGCAAAGGTGGTGGGCACTGCCAAATCTGGGACAGAAACTGCAGATTACAAGATTCCACTCAGAAAATGCAAACTCTGTCCCTGACATCACAGCACAGAGAACCAAACCCTCACACACCCTTCACTGGGAAGGACACTGAGGAGATGGCAGGCCATTGTGCTGGACATGGTAAGTATTGGGGTCATTGTTTGGTCAAAACCTGCTACATTTTTTTACTGTTTATTTATTTGGTGAAGTCTTTATTGTGTTAAACATTTCTTATAATAGAAATTACCTGCTGTGCATTTAGGTGAACTAAAATGTTGGAGTGAATGTTTATTAAAACATAACTCTGGTGTTATAAAGTACATTAGGTCACTTGTGCTGCCTTAGACTTATACAAAAATTAAAAAAAAAATGAGCCAGGGAGAAGGTTCAGCAGTTAGGAGAAGGTACTCCTCTTTTGGAAGCTCTGAATTTGATTCCAAGACCCATGTCAGGCAGCTTAAAACCACCCACCTGTAACTACAGCTCCAGGGGTATTTGACACTTCTGCAGGCTCCTGTACACATGTGCACACACACACTGCCAAAACATAGTGCTAGCACCTGATGTTTAATGGTGAAATCTATGTTCTGAGTCAGAGTCATCTTTTGTGCTTCAGTTTTACTTTTTTCAACACACACAACTCCTTGGTATTAAAGCTAATGTTGAATAGGATTTATTTCTACCACTATCCAGACATATATTATTCATTGTTTTATACAGCTGTGAATGCTGTCTTCAACTACTAAGCAATATTTTGAAATTTTGAGGCACATATAAGCTTTGAATTGTTATTATTTTTCTTTACTGTTTTGAGAACATTACGGAATATGTTACGACTTCCTATAAGTACCATGGCTAGAATAGTATCCACTTTGCTCTGTTAACTCCAGCATCTGAATCACAGAGCAACTTCAACAGAAATTCTGTTACTTGAAGTGACGTCATGTAGAAAATGGAGGCCGATTGCAAGATTCCTTTAGGTTCTGCAAACTAGCCGCTAACAAGCAAACAAGGGACTTCAAACCTCGCTGACCTTTGTCAGTTAATGACACGCAAGAAATTAGAAGCTTTGTTCTGATGGGACACAGTGAACTGTTGTGTCTTTCTTTCTTCTAGCCATGATGCATCCCAGTGCTATTTTAAGAACCCCATGAAGTATTTTACAGTAGTTTATAAATATTAGCCATTGTCACCGTTAACTCTATCATCTGCATCAAAAGTATCATAAACTAAAGACTCTTGTACTTGAATTAATGTCATTGTTCAGCCAGTGGAAGAGAAAGAGGTCAAGGTTAACCCTGATTTTCCCATCAAATTAACTGAGAACTCCACCTTCTTATCATTTTGCACCAGCCTCTCACATAAGTGAAGTTGACAACATAGACAAAGCAAATTATACAAAGTCTATTGCATTTGTGACATGTTTGTACTGACTACATTTTCAGGGACAAACCTTTACTTCTGTCATTACTTCAAGTGGACTTGGGGAATGTGAACTCTCCTCTCTACCATCAAGACTCGGATGTAAGTGGCCCACAGTGAAGGGGTCAGAACAAGCTTTGACATTCTGTGTCGTGGCTCACAAACTGTTTACTCCTAGGTCTCATGCTGCAGTTTGAGAAATACAATTTTTAGGAAACCCATTTAGGTTCAGGGTCATTTATATTTTTCCCATTTTCTGTAAAGTATCTCGTATCCAAAATCAAGACCTGCCATGGATTTCAAGAGAGCTGTCATCACCCTGGGACCTCCTGTGTGGTGGAGACACATCATACATAGCCCCAGCGCTGCATCTGTGATGCCTCTTTGACTATCTGGACTGGTATTGAGTTTCAGGGCTATTTAGTCAGATGTTTTGTAACACTGTTGACATTCTGTGGCTCAGGAGCTAGGGCTTCTTCTGCTAGAACAGAAACAGTGTGTAGTCTAAAAGTAACCCACCACTGCACAGAATTCACCTCCCACTCCTCCTCAGAACTCATCGCCTACCCCTCCACAGAACCCACTGCCCACCCCTCTACAGACCCACCACCCACCCCTCCACAGAACTCACTGCTGGCATAGCAGCAAATGGGGATGGCGGCCAGCAAGAAGACCAGGACCAGCTTCATGTTGAGGAAGCCCTTGTGGGTTGGCCTTTGGTACAAGATGGAGATCAGGGAACTTTCTGCAGTTGAGAGCTCGGCATTCTGCTATTTATTTCTTGGGCAGGCCCTTTAGTGTCACCCAGGAAATAAGGACGCAAGTCATGAGAGCAACGTGGCATTGTAGTAGACGACACAAAAGAACATGAAACAGAGCCAAGGAAGCCTATGATTTCTTTGTACAAAACAAGGAAACAAATTATTAAGAAGGACAGTTGGTGACCTTTCCCTGAGGTCTTCCAAAAAATGAAGATTGCAACACTGTAGTATGATTTTTGAAATGATACTGTTTTCCCCTTCATACCCTCTCTCCTTCATTTACTCCTCTTTGTCTTCTGTCTTCTTCATCTTCTCACTCCTTTAATTCTTTCCCTTTTTTCTCCTTCATCTTTCTTTGCCTATGTCTTTTTCTTGTTTTTTTTTTTTTCAATTTTAAGCACCTTCATTTGGTTTACCTGTTTCTGACGGGTCCAGTGCACAACCCCTCCCCCTTTCATAAACAGGTTGACCCTCTTTTTCTTTGACTTCCAGAGGAAGTTTATTGGCCAGCAGACCTTACTGAAGAGTCTAATGGAGAGTCATTTTGTTAGATGAACATTCACTGTTCATTCCAAATAGCTAAACATGTTCCTTCTTCTGTTAAAGGTCTAGGGTGTCACTTCTCCTGAATCAGGGACTCTTTCAACTAACAGAGATCCTTGTTGCTTTATGGGAGGTAGGGATGATGGCTTATGGTGAGTGACTCATGCCACTGTGACTTCAGATCTTGGGGATAGCATCTGCTCATGACTTTTCCTGGGGAAGCTATCATGTCTCTCTAGCTTCCTTTTACCCATGGTAAAGTGAGTAAAACTGCTGACATTTCATCAGGACAGCAGATTCAGCATGTAAATAACCTTCCCACATTGCCTACATAACCATTAATTCATGGGGCTTTTCCACTTCTGAAACTATGGGCATTAGTATGACGGTCCCTCAAGTTAAAAAACAAGCAAATAAAATCAAAAGCAAAACAATTACTATAAAATCCAGTTAGTTCATGTGGGTATATAATGGAATGCCAGAGATGGCATGCAGATCTGTAATTATTATAGCATTAGTCAAAACAGTCAAACTATAGGATCAGCTTAGATGTTTATCAGAAGATAACTAGACAATGAAAATATGGCATTTATACACAATGAATTTTTATTCTAAGGAAATTGGAATTAATGGGACTTACATGGAAATAAATGGGCGAGGATATTATCAATTTAAACAAAACAGTTGAACCCAGAAAGAGAAACATCACATATTCTATCATATACACACCATGTATGTATATACCTATCTATATTTGTATGACATGGAAGTGAAGGATTTACTATGTTTTAGTAAGGAAGGGAAAGGAGGGCGTGGGTGGTACCAAATGGCCCAAGTAAATGATGCATCTGTGTTGAAATCTAGAAGGAAATTCATTGTTTTGCCATTACCTAAATCTTGAAGGTATATGAAAAGAGCAGGCTTTCCCAAAAAGAAACATTCAAGTAAAAATCCAGTGGGAATTTTCTTCCAGGCATTAAAACATACACCAGTCTGTTGTGGAAGACGTAATTGAGGGCATCTCCTATGAACTGTAACCTGCACTGAATTTGCATTTAGTATGAAGAATGCTTTGTCCCAGGTCTTGTGTAGGTCACGTTTTAATTTGAGAATCTATACAACATACCCAATAAATGTAAGATTTAAGAGAAAGCACATGCTCATGCAGGAGAGAAAAATATGTGTGGAAAGAACAGTACCTTATCAATGAGAACAGTGACAGCATCGGTTGAAGGCACTATCCTGTACAGAGCATGGGGCAGCATTTTGGAGAAGGTACTGTTCTCTGGAATAAGTGCATGGTGATACTGTGGAGCAGATTTGGGAGTGGCTTCCAGAAGGAATAGGATAGGATTTGCTTAAAGGAAAAATATCACCTGCTAACATCCAAAATGGTGGGAGAGGTAGGGATTTTGAAACAAATTGTAGACAGAATGATTGTGGATAGTGTCACATGAATGACACAATGATAAGAAAAATAAAATTTATTCCAGTATAAAAAATGGGGGATGTGTATGTGAGTCAGAATGACAAGACCCATTAATAATGACCTACAAATGTTTAGTTTAATGTCACAATCATTTATGGCATTTCCTTCTCATCATTAAGCAGGAGCAGAAGCCAAAAATGAAATTGATTTAGTCAAGCACATTAAGTATAGACATGTGTCTTATGTCTGTACTTTCATCTCATTGTCCTTAGCAGGATTCATTCAATCCAATGTCAAGTGACCAGGATGTGTGATATCGTCTCTTTGCCCTATCCTTAACTGGGCTGTTCCTGTTTCCCAAGTCCTTCCCAGTGGACCTGTCTCTTTTTTTCAGCTGAAATAAGAAACCTTAAAAGATTCTCATATGTAAACTTCTTCACATGAGATACAGCTGTCTACAAAGGAGAGACCATCTTTTCTTTGACCTGAATTATTTCTCAAGACAATTTTTGCAGATTTGTATGTGAGAAACCAAATATCAATGATTCAAACCAGAAAGACTCATTTGAAAATTCATGAAGTCAAATGCTCAGCATAATGGTGCTGTTGATATTTTTCCCTTTCCAAAGGTGGCTCTGTTCAAATTTCCAACAGTTAAGGGTCTGAAGCATTCCAGCATCTTTCAATATTCCTCTCAATGGAACAACTCTTTATGGATCACAGGCTAGTACAAAGCACTGTACTCTTTAAACTGTCTCAGGGTTGTACATTGCATGACTTTGTGTTTTGGGAGATAAAATGTTTGATGAGGAACAATCATGTTTATACAACTATTGGCCCTTGTAAGACTTAAGACATAGATGAACATTTAGGCATATTACAGTCCTAGCCATACTGAAGGAAATAATATTGTGGGTGAGACATTTTCTCCAAGTGAGTCATGTGGTATAAAACACATACATCCCTACAAAAGGGAAGCATTATCACGCTTAAATGTTATCTTCACGTTTTCTGATCACAGGTTACAGATATGTATCTGTTTCACAGAATTTGGGATCAGGATAAACCACAATTTATTACTGCACCTTGTTCTTGGTCCTGGAAGCCTGGTCCACACTGAACTACCAGGTATCCTCATCTTCCTCACACATGCCTTAGCAGATGAACTTCCTCCTTAGAGAAATAAAGAGTTCCCAAACCAGGCTATGGGTGCTCACACAGACCAGATATTTAAGGAGAGACATCTGGATATTGGAATCCTGGATGACATTAAGATGTCTATTGTTGAAGCCACAGAGACCTTTCCTTTATGGACCATCTTTGTATTTCAATCAATTCCAGTGTTTGTGCTACTTAGCTATGGTGTTCTTTAGACCACTGATACCATATCTAGCATTGGCCTCTCCTTTGCATCTAAAGACACAGGTGCCCACCATTCAGTAAGTCATTTACCACAAGTCAGTCCATCTACACCCCATAGGAAGGACTTCTCTATCTCTCATGGCCTCTTTAACTCAGAGATCCAGCCTGATAACTACACACAGGTCCCCAAGGCTACTCCTGTTGTATTTTATTACAGATGATTGACTCTCCCATTTCTGTGAATTCACATAGGCACCAGGGCTTGAGATGAATTAGAAAGAATATGAGACTCCTCTCAGAAAGAAGTGTTAACCTTTCCCTTCTGACACGAAGTTGGAAAGAGAGTGAATTCATCATCAATGTTAGGTCATGGCACAGTATGAGCCTGCACGGGACAGGGACAAGTCAAGTGTGGATAAATGTTTCTGGGAAGACACAGGAGTGAGCAGGAGCTTTCTTTGAAAGGATAGGCATATTCTGACTCCAAGGACTTTGACAGGCTTGTTTGTCTCTTTGCTTGCTTGCTTTGACAGTGCCTCACTATGTTGCCATGGTGGCTTTGAACTCAGGACAACCATACTGTTTCACTCTCTGAAGTGCTTGGTGTCAGACAGTGGTCACCTCACTGAGCTCCAGTAGGACTCTGAGCAGAGAAATGTGGGAAAGCTTCAGAAAACCCAAGAAGTTTAAAACAGGAAGTGAGAAACCCCTCATAGGTTACTTGGAAAGAACTGTAAAAAGAGGGTCTGAGAGACTGGACTTCAGCTGACATATGCAAAAAACTACTTTGCCACGTTTCTGAGTGTTCTTAAACCCCTTTTCTGCAAGGTGTGTTGACCAGTGGGGCATGTGTGAGGACTCTGAGTCAAACCACCTGTGCAATCTTCCTGGCTACACTTGGCTGATGGTGTATACTGACCATATACAAACTCTACTCCACCCTTCTAATCCCCCAAGACCCCTGTATTTCACTTCAATCCCAGTTTTCTTTTCTTCCTTCCTGTCCTCTTCTCTCCTCTACTCTCCTCTCCCCTCCTGTTCTGTCCTCTCATGTCTTCTCCTCTCCTCTTCCCTCCTGTTCTGTCCTCTTTTCTCTTCTCCTCTCCTCTTCTATCTTCTTCTCTACTCTCCGCTCCTCTCCTCTCTCCCTCCCCTCCTCCACCCCTCCTTTCCTCCCTCCTTCCCTTTATTCCCTCTGAGTTCAGTTGGTGCTGAACATACACACATGGTCATGAGGCCACTCACTGGAGCCTAGGCAATCTACTAAGGTTCATATCCGGAAATAAAAGTAACTTTCATTTCTATCAACTGCCAATAGTTCTTTAAATTAATTTTTAATTGTTGGGGAGGAGGACACAGTTGTGCCAGGGTCGATACGTGACACAACGCACATAAGTGGAGGCCAGAGAACTTTGTGGAATCAATTCTCTCTTTTCACTTATGTGGATTCTGAGCATCCAATTGAGGCCAAGTGGTGAACATTCTGAGATACAGTACCAGTCCTGATCTCCTATGAACAAACGGCAACAGATCATTGAAGACATCCTGAAAGAAATTAAAAAGTCCTAGAAACAAGTGTAGATTAGAGCCCTGCCCATCAGAGGCTCCTGATATGCCCAGCATAGTCCAAGGAGGAAAGTTACAGCTTTCAGT